CACACACACACACACACACACACACACACACACACACACACACACACACACACACACACACACACATGTGTGAGCCGAAGGCTGCCAGAGGTTGTGTGTCCCCTCTTTTGCGAGGGGTCTGTGACAGCTGTGCGGTTAGGTGTGACCGCCTGACAGGGGGTTTATGAAACCAGACCTGATGATTGTCAGCTGAGTCAGAGCACTAAACACACACACACGCTTGTTGTTCTATCCTCATGGGGACATGTTATTGACTTCCATTCACTTTTGGTGTGTCGTATTTTTTTTTGTCATTTGTGTTTATTATGAAATTGATCTTAAATTTAATTTGGCTTGGCATTAAAAAGCCTTTAAAAGTCTTAAATTGAACTTTCCTTAAACTGTAGGAACCCTGTTTAACCTAACCACAACCCAGAAACAATGTTTTTCTCTGGTGAACCAGGCAAAACATCCACATAAGGGTGGTCTAATGTCAGTATATGTCTGCACAACAATAGCAAGACATGCACACTCTCACACACTTCCCCCGACCAGATCAAACCTGCGTTTATGTTGCCTCCCCCTCGACTCCCCCCATAAATTTTTCCATCTTCAGCTGGTTGTATTTTTTATTTTTATTTTTTGTCCCTTCGTATCCCAGATTAACTATAACTGTGTTGCAGCTTTCCACTGTTCAAATTCACAATCATGTTGTCGTCCATGTCTGGAGTTTTTGTGAGCCGCTCTTCAGTTATCACAGTAAAGCCCACAGAACAATATCAGGTGTAACACTAGCATCTGAAGGCCTCCGTCGGGTTGTTTGACTCCGTCTCAGTTACACGGGTTCCTTTCTTCTGCCTCGCATGGACAAAATGTGCTCTCTGTTGTGTGGGCCGGTGTTACACCATATTTTGTGACCGTCATATATTGTGACCAGAGGGGTCGCTGTTGCGTTTCTACAGAACCTGGCCGAAAATAGCCACAAAGAAGAATATGACACGCCAAAAGTGTAACCCAGAGGTCACAAAATATGACGACTGTTGTCATATATTGTGACTTCACTGTAGCTTTGTAAATAATAAAAAAATATTTATTCATAAACTGATTCTACTCATTTTATATATCCTCTAATGTCAGAAAAATAATTTCTGATCACTCGACTATTACTATTACTTCTACTATTATTGCTGCTATACATGATAATAGCCATCATATAATGTGACCCTGTACTAATTTAATAACAGTCACCATGTCAGTGATCAAAAGTTATTTTTCTGACACTAGAGGATGTAAACAATTAGTATAAATAGTTTTTGACTAAAAATTTTTACTATTTCCTTAGTTACAGTGAAGTCACAATATATGACAGCTGTCATATTCTGTGACCTTGTATAATAACAACAGTCAACAGTTTTTGTTTTTTTTCTTCGTATGTCTTCAGCCTCTGGCTTAAGGGCTCGACACACAGGAGGCGACAAACTACAGCGATTAACGGCTGTCATCGCAGCCTGGGTGAAACCCGACACACGGGACGCGATAGTGGTTGCAGCGATGCGAATCGCGCTCTCAGGTCGCTTGTCTTCACAAAATTTGATTGGTTCTTGACTCTGAAGGCGGGTGTGCATTACGGAC